TATTCTATGTATGTAGTATCACTAAGCATTATATAATCATATAATTATACAGTATAAATGTATCTGTAGAATAATGTATAATCATGCTGTAGTATAGTCTCACTAATATTATTTCTTCACATGCTGTACCATGTTGCGTTATGCCTTGCGTAACTACAGCATGTTATTTTTAGTATGATTCGCATCATATAGTATCAAGCATAATAAGTTATCCTACATCATGTATATCATTCAAAATTAGTTTTCATATGGCTTTATATCTTTATACTATATATAATGTAGCAATATGTTGTATCGTGAAAAATAATTATTATTTTAATTATTGTCATCTCTTAGTCTCTTAAATCATGTAATATGTAGTCCTTTTGTAGTATGTAGCCTGTAGTCTCTATGCAGCTTGTGGTTTGTAGTCTCTATGTAGTATATAGTCATGTCTTCATGACTCATGCTATATATAGTTTTCATGTATCGTGTAGTATGCAACAGTCTAAATGTTATACATCTAACCAATGTCATTAGTACCACTGAGTATCATCCAGTAATATTTCACGTAGTATCACATATCATGTATCATTGAATGTCTCATGCAATACTATGCTGCATATGTATGTCACATAAAGCACCAATTGTGGCAAAGCACTCATATGCCATGGCTCTTGTTTGATATTTTTTAATTTAAATTTAAATTTTATTTTATTTCATTTTTTAAAATTTATTTTATTTGCTTATTTCTATCACATGACATTCCATAAATATGTTGGGTCTCGGCGACTGTTCTGGGGGGTTCGTGTCGCCCCACCCTTCCCCATACATCTTGGGGTGCTTTAGATAAAGGAGTAGGCGGTGCTATACCAATTAACCGCCATGGTAGAGGGGTGGTCCTCACGTCCTCCGTCCCTAAACTAAACTAAACTAAGCCCGAGAAGGGGCCATCTGTATTATTTCTTTGAGTGAATAAAAGGGTATTTTAACCCTTCTCGAATCTACGTTGTAAGTGCTTAACGATAAGTCGCTATTTAGTTCACTAGGATTCTCGAGATTCTATCAAAATAACGCGGGACATTACAAATTTAACGTAGGACAATCTCACAGGAAGAACGTGAGAAGCGTCGGGATGTTAAAAAAATTGGGACGTTCGAAAAACCAAGGAGTTCCAATTTCCAGTCTGCCCTTGTCGTCAACCGATTCATAACCGGCGGGCTGGGAGGACTTCGGCTCCACTTCAAACTAATTTCAATATTTGTTGTGTTTCTTTAGCAGACTTATGCAGTTTGAAACAAAACTTTGTATTACAGCGTCTTTAGTCCATAGGGGCTTTGTCCCTGAGGGGTTCATGTTCTCGCATTGTAATAAAACAACGGTACCTAGAGCCATCAAATTTTGAATATGGGCGAATATGGGCATATGAAAGCCCAAATTTGAAATTTGGAATTTGTTTTATTATCGATTCCATATTTTGTAAAACTTTGACGAAATTTTGATTACCAAACTCAAGGATTTCAAAGAGAGTAATGGCAACACTCTACGAGGAAAAGAAAAATCTATTTATCTCCAGCGCGTGATACTGTGTATCGAAAATTCTTAAGATATGCTCAATTAAAAATTTTGCGATAAATTTAAATCAATTTTGAGATATTGTTCTTGAACTGAATTTTATGGTTTAAGTACGAAGAACATGATATTTAATAAACAAAGGTAACACATAAAATGTTAAAAAATTTAAAATCTGAAACCTTTCAGTTGTTGTTTTTTTCAATTCGTTTCTTACGTGGTTTTGTAATTCACAATCGCTTGAAAACACACCTTCTTGCAATCGCCCCGAAACAAGTTCAAACTTGTCACACGTTGTCATTACGGTTCATCGCCTGCTTTCCGAATTGAAAATCTGTGTCGCTGCGCTGGATGGAATTTTGCGGGAGCATTCATTGCATATTTTGATCGAAACTAACCTAATAAAATTTTAGGTAACTAGTTCTTGACATTCACTGTTATTTTGCAAGATCGGGGGAAGGGAATATGGGACTGTAAATACGCAAAATTAATTTAAAAAGTTTTCAATTCGAAATTTTAACTCACTTTATAATCATTTAGATAGATTTATAAAGGTATTTTCTTCCATCTTTCCGCATACATTCGTGGTGTATTGTGAAGCATTTTCGACGCGTGTTCGAGAGGGGCAGGGTTCGAGTCCTGGGAAAGGTATTACACAATTTTCACCTCTTCTGCTTTAGGAGAAAACCTAATGACTCTACAAATGGGGCTCGAACTAAAAAATGGTTGAAGATAATTCGTCACAACCAGAACTTGAAGAAAGGGTTCCCTAATCTCAATTCGCCTTTTAAAAGGGAGAGTATATAAGGTATTTTCTCCCTCCTTTCAACAAACCTTAGCAGTGTAATTGGGAGTATACTCGACGTATTCCAGAGGTCCAGGGTTCGAGTCCAGGCGAAGGCATTACACAATTTTCACCTCTCCTGCTTTAGAAGAAAAACCTAATGACTCTACAAGTGCGCCCGAACTAAAAAATGGTGGACGATAATTCGTCAAACCAGAATTTGGCGAATGGGTTCCCTAATCTCAAGTCGCCTTTTAAAAGGGAGAGTATATAAGGTATTTCCCCCGCTTTCCAGGCGAGGGCATTACCCAGGTTTTAGCTCTTACAAATTTAAGTTTTCAGTGATAGGAAGGAGAGTAACCTTAATTTATTCCCAGGTGAAGATGCTCTTGAAGCGGCTCGATGTGGAGTTTCTGCCGTGTTCGTCTCGAATCACGGAGGTCGACAAATTCAACGAGTCATTCCAACAGTAAGTCTTCAGTTATTATTACTATTATTATTATCATTATTATTTAAACTTCTTAAAATATTTTATTTTTTATTATCATGTTGCAAGTATGTTGTATTTTTTTGTATGTGTATTGAAGCAATTAATTATATTAAAATAATTATTACTGCCTATATCACCAATCAGTACCTTTCCTTTATGATTTCTATACTGTCTATATGACCAAGTAATATTACTTTTCTAATTAAATCTGTGAATTTATCTTTATACTTACGATTAACAATTATAATGTTATGTCATTCTCTTACATCCTCCTTTATTCACGACCTCCTGTGTAGTCAGCGGCCGAGGGCTAAAATCGCTGAACACTGGTAGTTCCGACTCAGGTTCAATTCCAGGCGGGCTTGCTTCATGGATATTTTCGTGATTTTACTCATGAGTAACGTGCATACCAGCCAGAAAGTCCCCCACGGAGGCACTCCTTCCCTTAGCCAGATAGTCCTAGTGTGCCTTGGTATAATCTACTAAACCAAACCAATCATGTGCAGTCCTAAAAATAAACTACACTTGAAGCAAAATTAATTTGAAAAATTTTGCAAGGTTTTTTAAAGATGAGAGTATTTATTTATTTAGTTTTAACTGATAGTTAATTTTAAAATTTTAAATTACATTTCTGTCACTCTCTTTTCACCCACGATTTTTATGCCAGAATGTATATGAGGTAGCGAGCGTTTATTCAGATTGATGGAGTAAGAAGTGCTATTTAAGCGAAAGTTTCGCAAGTTAATTTTAAACTGAACTATTACTCATTTTCTTCAGACGATAATCATACACCAAAACTCCAAACAACTAACCACCAAACTCTAAGACTGAAGTGTAAGGCCATAATTATTTATTTTTTCAGACCATAATTATTTATCGAATGAACCGCATATATGTAATATCTATTCGTTATCGTCAAAACTAATTGCAAATTGAAACATTCATTCTTCGTAAAACGCACGTAAAGATAAAGAAAAAATAAGAATATTGTTACATTATACAAAATTCGTCACATTAACCGATGATAGCTTGATAAAATTTATTTTCCCAAAGTAACACTTTTCAAGTCTGGAACTTTCCAGAAAAATCCTCTCACAGCTTCAGAACACAATGAGTAGTTACCACTTCAAATTAGTGGAAATGTTAAACACAGCGCAGTGTAAAGCGCATCTAAAGACCGAAGCTCACACGGAGATCTTTCAATATTCCGAACTCAGCACTGAACTAAAACCTGAGAATTACTTTAACACTTTGAATGGTATACTGGTGTTCAGCAGAGATAACTTTTCTTGTTCTTACCAGTTCACTGACGGAGTCCTTTAAAGGGCTTTTGAAGTAAACCCGAAGGAAATTCTCCATGGGAGAAGAAACTTAGCCGAAGAAAGAAGAAAAGAAAGTACTTTGCTTTTGGAGAGACAAAACTGATGCTCTTTCCCGTATCATATAGTTTTCCCTCGACAACCGAGAAACTTCCAGTACCTTCCATTTCTCGAAATTAATGTAAGGCATATACGGTTACATGTGAGGGCCGGATACAGATACCATGTCAAACCATGTTTAACTTGGTGATATTTCGACGATTTAGCAAGGTAGTCATTTACCTCAATAAACTTGCCTCTGTAATCTTATTTTTTCAGCAAAGCTGGAGGCCGTTCATACTACATTATCGTAACAATATCATTTTTCTTTGTCTTTAAGTTGGAATCAGTGTGAAATTTTCTAGTTATTGTAAATGTAAACTTGTAGAGACATTAGGTCCTTCTCCTTTTTTTTTTTTTTTTTTTTTTTTTTTTTTTTTTTTTTTTTTTTTTTTTTGAAAGCAGGAGAAATGAAAAATGAGCAGTTCCCTCTACGGATCTCGATCTCTACGGTCTCGAATCTCGGACCTCTGGAATACGCGCCGAGTGTGCTCACTACTACACCACGAAGGCATACTAAGAAGGCGGGAGAAATACTTTATATACTATCCCTTTTAAAGGGTGACTGGGAATTAGGGGATCCAATCGCCAAATACTGTTTGTGAAGAATCATCATCCACCACCTTTTTTAGTTCGGGCGCCACTGTAGAGACATTAGGTATTTTTTGAAAGCAGAAGAAATGAAAATTGAGCAATGCCCTCGCTGGGAATCGAACCTCGGACCTCTCGAATACGCGCCGAGTGTGCTCCCCATTACTCCACGAAGGCATTGTAAAAAAGGCGGGAGAAATACCTTATAAACTTTATCATCCGAAAAACTATCTAAGTCTCCAAATGTTTCATCAGAAATTGATCATGCATCGAAAGACAAAGAAACAATGTCTAAATGCATCGTCAAAATCAGCTGTAATGTTTTTAATCAGCTGTAATTCTTTTTTTTTTTTTTTTTCCTTCAAGATAAATGTCCTGGAAGAAGTGGTTGAAGCTGTTAAAGATAAGGGAGTGGAAGTTTATTTTGACGGTGGCGTTCGAAGTGGAAGCGATATATTCATTGCCATAGCTCTTGGTGCGAATGCAGTGTTTGTGGGAAGACCCACTATCTGGGGACTATCTGTTCAAGTAAGTTCAACACTAAGGTTTAGAGTAATTAAAATCATTGAGTGCATTTCACGTGATTTTAATACTTGTAACTCCTATAATAAAACTCCTTAATAAAACTATTTATATATATATATTAATATCGGCTATTAATTGGAAGGATATTGCTAGTGTTTTCAACCACAAAGCTTTTTCAGATACAAGACATCAATGGTCAGGAACCACAGTGTAACGTATATTTCCAAGAAATTTAATTAGTTTATTCATTTTTAATTATTCGCATAAAATACTACAAATTCACATTGTAAATACTGGAATAGAACAACTGTCTTCTTCTAGAAAATCTACCAGTACCTTCAACAGCTTTTTGCTCCCATTCAACAAATCGAAGCTGTAGTTACCATTTGACAATATGTAGACAACTACAATTTTTTACTATAAACATTAAATAGACCGAATTAAATGTTGACTTTTTGATGCTGTAGACTGTTACTTCTAGCTGCTGCTTTATCGCTACCGACACGTTACTGCTGATTAAGAAGAGTTGTTCATCAATTACCATTCACGACAGCTCACTTCAAAGCTATGGTCAAGACTTTTTAAGGCAGTTCCTTTAGTAGTTGCAATTACTCCAAGCCGAAGTTTGGCTTTCTATTAGAAGTAGAGCACATTTATTAATGTTTCCGTAGACATGGTAAGAACTTTAATGGGACATTTATTTCATTCATTCCACCGCACTTTCTGAAATTCTCTGTTTCTTGCAAGAATTCTATTCAGTTTATGAATGGCCATTGAAATCTTAGAGCAAATAGAATTTCAAATACAGGCTAACCAGAAAATTTGCCCATAGAAGAGCTTAATCATCTTATTGAATCTGCTAGTATTCAAATTAATTTTACTTCGGAAAAAAGCAAAAATAACACGATGACTGAAGATTAATAAAAATTCTTTCTTTACAGAGATACACTGATATAGCAGATAAACTTTAAAAATTTCCTCCAAGAAAAATAAACATATTAGTTCATCTTTTAAAAGAAACGTAAAGCACGTGTTACTAAAAATGACACACAAAACGAAAGTAATAGCTGAAAAGAAGTCGAAGCAACTATTGAAACGTACTTCAGTCAGCCCTCCAAAGCTGAGGTAGAATAAGCAAATAAATTCTCAATTAGGGCCATTAAAAGCCTTGAGCTTCTAAAAGAAACAGAAAAATGTCTTACTAAAATTAACACACAAAACGAAAGTAGTAGCTGAAAAGAATTCGAAGCAACCATTGAAACATACTTTAGCCAGCCCTCTAGAGCTGAGGTAGAATAAGTAAATAAATTCTCAATTAGGGCTGTAAAAGCCAAATGTGTAATTTATTGGCCAAATGAAAAATTAACGTATTAGTTGAGCTTCTAAAAGAAACATAAAAGTGTTACTAAGAATAACACACAAAACGAAAGTGGAGTGGCGGCTGACAAGAAGTCGAAGCAACCACTAAAGCACACGTTTTTAGTCAGTCCTCTAGAGCTGAGGTAAAACAAGCAAATAAATTCTCAATTAGGTTCATTAAAAGCCAAATGAATAAAGATACAAATGAAAATAGGGAAATAAACAACACCAAAGACAATGAAAACAACGAAGTTTATGGCAGTGAAGGATTCAATAAACTGAGAAAGATGGAATAAAAAATCCTTATCCTTGTTATCTCTGAAAATGAAATAAATTGGAAATATATAGCAAATTAAAAAGAACTTTAGTTTGTACAAAACATTGTAAGGCATCTTAACTGGTAATACACTTAAAATTCAGGTACATGTCGCGGATGTTTACCACAAAGTCATTGAAAACTAAGTGAACTCGGAATTACGTTTCCTCATCTAATCTCAATCTCAAGAGCCTTTTGAAGCAGTGCTTGAAAAGTCTCAAAAAGCATGCGAATTGAGGACAACACGAACTCAAAGAGAAAAACGTACTAGTTAAAAGATTCAACCGAATGACTAAATGTAAAAATCGAAATGTTACTCCACTTTCCATGTCCTTAGTTGAGATAGATTTTTTCTGCGCTGTGCACATAGTCAAAATATTTGTTTGAACAAACGTTGTGATATGAAATGTTCAAATTTCCATCCTACAGGGAGCACAGAAGAGAGCCTCGACCAGCAAAGTGCAACTAACAATTAATAGCTTTGTCTAGATTTTCTCTTTTCATTTGTAGTTCATTTTCATTCATTCACGATTAGTAGTAATAAACGCACCACTTAGGTGCGTGTGCACAAAAATGTAAGAATATTTTGTTTGGAATATTCATAACAATAATAAACTGGAATAATGAAGCGATTTCTTTTCGATTAACGTTGATTTGCTAGCAAAGAAATAACGTCATTCCTTCCAACAGTATATGCGGCGAAAGATATATAATTTGTTTGATTGATTGATTGATAGTCATAATAAAAACTAATTTAGTTTGAACACTCATAAACTATAAACTAATTTATTGAATTTCTTCTTTATATTGTCAAATTAGGGTGAAGAAGGTGTGAGAAGAGTCCTTCAAATACTTAAAAGAGAACTCTTGGAGACGATGAAACTTGCCGGTATGAGACTCAGTTTTGTAATTTAGTTCTTTTATTGGATTGACTTATTTAGTTAGGAAAACGTATATGAAAGCTTCTTACCTAAGCTTCGTAGCATCAGAACACATGAAGGATCTGATTTAATCTCTTGAATTTTTTACCTGTCCCGCTACCTAGCATTTCTAGATTTAGACTTTGGGTGTGACTGTTAATATATTTTCACCTTTATTAATATGATAATTTCATAGTTAAAATAAGTAGTATACAATTCACAGTACTGTAAAAAAATAAAGAAAGCATAAATGAAAACTAATATTGTCATAGATAAACAAATAAATAATAGAATTCTTGTGTTAACATTGAATGGATCTTACATTTGGCCATTATTTTCTAGACAGTTTCTGTGTTAAATAAATAGATAATGGTTCGATCTAGAAATGTCTGGGTATTAAGTTTACCATGTTTTACCTCTAATAGGGTGTGGAACCAATTAAGTTATTTTTTTAAATTGTTTTTTAAGCAAGAGACGATAAAAATTTGCAGTGCCGTCGTCGAGACTCGAACCGTAGAACTCTCGAATACGCGTCGAGCATGCTTCTAATTACACCACGAAGGCATGCGGAAAATACCTTATACACTTGAGACTAGAGGGGGACTGGGTATTAGAGGATCCAATCGCTAAATCCTATTAGTGACGAATTATCATCCACCACCTTTCAATTCGGGCGCCACCGCTTCATTAGGCTATTTTGAAGCAGGAGACGGGAAAAGTGTGCAGTGCCCTTGCCGGGACTGGAACCCTGGTACACTCGAATACACGCCGAGTATACTTCTAATTACACCACGAAGGCATGCGGAAAGGAGGGAGAAAATGCCTTATAAGGGAAATCCCATGCACGTTTGTAGCCTAGCTATTTCAATGTTTTTTCGCATGTATATTTAGTTTTTTTTCTTTAAGGACCGACTTGGACGTTTTTCATGTCTTACGGCTAGTAGTAATGTGAAGGTATCTACCCAAATTATTTTTATTGGTAGTTTAGGTATTATTTCAAAAGCTTCAGTTCCTGCGTTCTTCCATTTATATTGCAACCGAGTAACAATTTTATTGTGTTTCATTGTCCTTACCAATTCTTTCGAATACGGAAGTGCGAAATCTATGTTTTTTTCCGTGGTTCTTGATTTTGCGACAAAGTACACTGCTTCATTATCTTATATTCCTATGTGATCCATAAAAGTTTTATATGAAATTTAATTTTGAGATTTCTGAAGATTTATTTTGCTGTTTGAACACTGTTTCATCTTGTTTCTCTCATGTTTTCAAGGTGAATAAGAGACTCTGGCTGTCGCAAAATTATAGGTACAATTTTGATCAGACTCCGTAGTTACTAGATTAGAATTGACCCAACTGGCTGCCTATTTCAATGCAAAAAGCCCTTAGCCTCAATACAAAGAGCGTTCAAATGCCCAAAAACACTGTTATTGAATGACTGTTGCTATCTGTATGAGACTTGTGGTGATTACTTCATGGTTCTTGTTCACCGCAAAAGAAGCGCTTTTTCTGCCTGAGATTTTTTAACCAATTCTACATATTTGATTTCCAGCTCTTTTCCGTTTGGAAGATCTTTATTCCTTTTGTGGGAAATGAATTTTCAGGGATAATTTCGACGGACCGGTAATCTAGATGCTCTTATACAGTTCCATATTATGATGTTGCTGGGATAAATGCTATTATTAAGTTGAAATAGACTGTAAAGCTTTGCATGCATGCAGCCGTTTAGACGTGTTAGTATGACTGCTGAAGACCCTGCGAATGTAATTCCAGAGTCTCGTACCGCTCTTTAGCAAATTCTGAAAATTTTCGGATCAATAGATATTGAAGGTCATCTTCTTGCAAGTATATTATAAACATTGAAGTACCAGAAAAACTTACACAGAACATGTTATGGAAAACATATAGTAGTTACCCCTATGGCGTATATTCCATTTGCATCCATCAGTGGGAATATAGAGTGAGAGATATCTCCGCCAGCTATGAAAGCTGTTTACGATATCAAAATGACAAGTAACAAAGGTTTAAGCAACTTCTAAAGCGATGTCATAGCTGACGCTCGTGAAATGGGCCACAGCATTTTGGAAAGAGAAATAAAATTCGGATTTTTAAAGACGACCATTGAAAGGGTGTACCATGAATACATAAAATCCGACAAAACATTAAATTTAAGATCCTGTGCGCCTGTAGAAAAACGTTACCATTATGGGCTATCAAGAATTACTTCACGTGACAGACGTGTAACGTTGTAGCAGGTAATATCGGAAATTAATGCTAAATCCTCAATACGTTCAGTGTTCTGACTGTGAAACGTAGACTGCAGAATATTTAGTCTAAAAGCTGATGGATCTTTGATGGCAGCATGGTACAGAGCAAAGGGTCTTTCTTGAGAACGGCAAAACCGGTAATGGACACTTGATGATTGGAAACAAGTATCGTGGTCCGACAAATCCCGTTCCCAACTGTATCGAGCAGTATCGTATTGGGAAATCTTGGATTACTAACACCTCTTATCAAAAACAAATCTGATCACGAATAAATTATCTGACCAAAAGATGTAAGAAGGCTGTCTCGAATTCCGAACACTCATAAGTCTACAGCCAACATTTTCAGAGGTATTTTGAGGCACCTTCCGTCTCAAAATTAGCATTCAAGGAGGTCTTTAAACATTCTTTTAGTAATCATGTAAGGACCTTAAGTTTTACTAACGTTTATTTTATTTTAAATCTTTGCTATCACTTCTTATTTTCTACTTCCGGCCAGAATTATAAGCGTTAACTTATTTATGCAAAATTTGTCTGGCGAACGCCAAGTACTTAAGTTGTGGCTTTTTGCCAAGCGAGAGAGAGGAAGGAGTTAGTCGAAGCAGGCCGCTTACCTTAGAAGTTTTACTCAGTTGCTGGTTGCCTTCCAGGCCAGAGGTTTAATCCTCTTGATAATTTTTAAACGTATTGTAGTGTTAACAGTTCTCTGTACTACATACGGCTTCCTGTTAATATAAGGCCAATCTTCCACGTTTATTATTTCAAAGTTAAGTTAGAGTTTAGTTATATTTTTATATTCTTACGTTTAGACCACAAGTAGTGGGTCTTTGTATTCCGAAGTACGGAAGTTATTGTAAAGAGAGAAAAATAAAGGGTTTTGTATACCCTTCTGTGTGTATCCTGTCTACTTCCCACAGTTATTGAACATAGCTTTAGTAAGCTCTCTGTTCCGAGTCAGGTCCTTGCATGTTCCCGAAGAAAGTAAGACGGAACATTGAACCTGATAGTGGCGCCCAACGAAGAAGAATAACCATGGCCGAGTTTCAAGAAGAACCTGTGCTGCCTGCAGAAACGGCTCAGAATCCAGAAATGCCAGCTGCCGCCCTGGAAGGATTTGGTTACATCGTCCAGACCATGCGCGCTTCGATGAAACCAGAAGCAACATTTAATGGAAACTCACCGGTAACCAGTTTTTTGGAAAAATTGGATGACCACTTCATGCTCTACCCCGTGCACGAGTTTCAAAAAGTTACCTTAGCTACCAGCGCTTTGAGGGGCCAAGCGCTTAATTGGTTCAAATGTATAGGCAGAAGTCTCTTGGGTCAAGCAGGAAGTCCCACCTATACTTACGAAAATTTCAAGACTGCCCTAGTAAAAGCCTTCCCTGTTGTAAGGGATCGTGCGAAATTAGAAACGGAACTTTTCAGCATGTATCAGCAAAGAATCGAAAATCTCTCAAGCTTTATTTTAAGAAAAATTCACGTCTTCAAACTCTTGTATGGAAACCGTCCGGATCCTGAGATAATTCAAGTGATTTTGCCGAGGTTACTGCCCCAAGTGCAAGACTTTATTGAATTAAGAAATCCGACTACACTGGAAAAGTTATTTGAGCTAGCAATCCAGTTTGAAAGTAGAAGAACGGCGGACATTGAAAGAAGACGCCAATATCAACAGCGAAACCAATTTGGTGCGCCAAGACTACAGCAAACTCAAGCACACGGCTACGGAAGCAAAGCGAATCAGTGGGCAAGGAAACCCGAGCATTCAAAAACAGCCGGCGAACGTCGACAGTTCAATAGCAATCCAGGAAAAAAGTCTCAAGGCCAGTGGAAAAAGAAGGAAAGCACGGAAATGAAAAATAATTTAAACTAAAACGGATTTCTGCTGACGGGAGGGTGCGGAAATCCGAAGGCCACGAAAACCCCTCTTCCTTCAAGTTAAATACAGTAATGGTGAAAAATTTGACTCTTCCGAAGATTGAAGTGTTGGTGAATAATATCCCAGCCACCGCACTCCTGGATACAGGCGCGCAGTGTTCCTGTGTGGCAGAAGATTTTTTTAGGAAGTATTTTCGTAAATACCGCATATATAATTCGGATAATACGACAGTGTTAGCTGCGCAAGGAGAAAGATGTAAGTGTATAGGTAAAGTACCGCTGTATGTCCGTATCAAGGACGAACAAGTAAAGGTTATGTTTTTTATAGTAAAGAATCTGCAAGCACATATTATCTTAGGAATAGATTTTCTTTCAGAGGCACAAGCAACGCTGGATTTTAATGAAGCGTCCCTTAAGCTGACGATGAAACCAGTTCGTGAAGAAAAGGCTGAACCGCCGATGTTAAAATCTTGACCACCTGCCTAATGAAGAGCAACGAAGAATCCGACAAGTGGTAAGTGAATTTGCTTCGTTATTTAGTGATATTCCAGGATTTACTCAGGTTACTAACCATAGTATTGACACCGGAGATTCAATGCCAGTTCGCCACAAAGCATACCGGTATGATAAGAATAAGGAAAAAATTATAGAATGGCATATTCACCGATATGCTACGTAAAAAGATCATAACGCCCATCTCAAGTAGTTATGCTGCTAGCCCGGTGGTTTTATGTAAGAAAAATAATGACTATCCTTTGACACATCCAAAAAGGTGGAGATTCGCAATTGATTACCGTAAATTAAACTCCATAACTAAATATCCGGTATATC